TCACTAAAAAGAAACCTATTAGAGTAAATAAAAAAAAATAAAGACCTAGATAATATCGAAAACCATTTAAAAAATGAAACATGGAGAGAGTTTTACAAAATACAGGACGTGCAATTGGCTGCCGAACTATTAACGAATAAACTAAACAAAATATCAACCTTTAAAACCTTGGATAACTATTTCAGTGGTTAAGTCTATTAAACGAAGAAATTTATTGCACAAGAAATTTAAAAACATCCCCATGATATTCTAGTGAAAAAATGAGTACATATCATATAGAAATATTTGCAATAAAATCATTAAAAACTTAAAATATAAATATTGCCAAGAACAGCTACTTAAAAACAAAGGTAATCCAAAAAACATATGGAAAATTATAAAGGAAGTTGGTAATATAACCGAAGTGAAAAACCGTGCTGATGAGCTTCTTAGATTAGATAAATATCCTGTTGCTGCTCTAAACAAAGTTAATGAATATTTTACCTCGGTTGGTCAAGACTTAGCTAATGAGACACTGAATAAAATAAAAACAACAGACACTGAATTAGCTAAAACTGCCAAAAAAGACAATACTCTCGTTAATTCTTTCTCTGCTGCTCCCACTGATCCAGATGAGATAAAAGAAATTATACTAAGTCTTAAACAAGATAGTTCTCCTGGATGGAACAATACACCTTCGAAAATAATTAAGTACTTTAGTAAATATTTCACAACACCCATTGCCTATTTATGCAATCTAAGCCTTGAAAGTGGCGACTTTCCCACAATATTTAAAAAAGCTTTAGTCAGTCCAATTCATAAAGCAGGAGCTAAAGATCAAGCAACGAACTATCGGCCTATTTCCATACTCTCGGTACTAAGTAAAGTCTTAGAAAAGGTTATGAACAAACGACTCATATTTTTTTTTAGAAAAATACAGATTCCTTGTTGATGAACAATTCGGTTTTCGTAAAAATAGATCCACCGAAGACGCTGTCCTTAAGCTGACGTCATGGATAACATCTCAGACGGATAAGGGCGAAAAATGTATAAGTGTTTTCCTAGATCTTCAGAAAGCATTCGATACGGTCTCCATTCCTATACTGTTATCTAAGTTAGAAGGTGTCGGAATAAGAGGAGTAGCATTGAAATGGTTCGAGAGTTACTTGACAGGCAGAAGACAGTTGGTTCGCATGGGCAAGTACCTCAGTGACTTTTCCAACTGTATTTATGGAGTGCCGCAAGGTAGTACTTTAGGACCAACCTTATTCCTGGTCTATATCAATGATCTGGGCAAAATCAACTTTGAGAACGGCACCATGAGTATGTTTGCTGATGATACTGTCCTCATGTTTCATAATTCTAGTTGGCAAACAGTCACTGAATCAGCTGAAAAGGGACTAAAACAAGTCACGAAATGGCTTGAGGACAGTATTTTATCAATAAACATAACAAAAACCAAATATATGTGTTTTAGTAAAACTGCTATTGCAAGCCCTAACAATGACCATAAACTAAGAATTCATACTTATCCATGTAATAGAGGTGAAGGAGGGAATTGTAAATGTCTTTACCTGTCTAAAGTTAACAATATTAATTACTTGGGAGTAGTTATTGACGACAGATTGAGTTGGTTAGATGATATTAAATTACTACAACTAAGGATAAGAAAACTTATTTACGTATTTAAAAATTTTAGGAATGTTGCCAATCTGCAGCTCCTAAAACAAATTTATCAAGCCTTGTGTGAGAGTATAATTAGATATTGCATACCAGTGTGGGGTGGTGCAGCAAAAACTCACATAATTATGGCAGAACGAGCACAACGATCAATTTTAAAAGTAGTCATGTTTCTCCCTTACAGACATCCTACAACAGACATTTACAAATTATTCAAAGTACTTTCTGTAAGAAAACTTTATATTTCTGAAAGTATTCGCAGATACCACCGTTATGTTATCCCACAGCTACCTAATGATCTTACTAGGAGGGATCGCTGTCATATCCCCTCAGTCAAAAGTCAATTTGCACGTCTTCAATATACATATATGGCACCACGACTTTACAACAAATTAAATAACATTAAAAAGATAAAAAAGTGTAGTAATTTTAGCTTAAAAAAAATATTAATGATTGGCTGTTCGACATAGATTATGATAGTGTGGAGGATCTACTGATTGACAACACCCGGATATAGGAAGTATAGCACAGTGTTTATAAATTATTACTTGATATTTATGTGGTTCAAGACAAGACGCATCTACATACACACGCAACACCCAGGCACACGCAACACACGCACACACGCAAGCACACCTACACCCACACTCACTATACACACACATATGATTTAGTTATTTTTTCTATTTATCTTTACTGTGAAGAAAAATAGTAATGTTTTGTTATGCCCAGTACAACTGCTAAGATTATATTGTAAGTACATAATTGGAGAGGACACTGGATTCCATACTACAGGCTAAGGCCTATTTTGGAATACAGGGGAATCAAACATAAATTGTAAAAAGTATAATGTCAATAAACATTATTATTATTAATCTATGTATCTCAACCAAAGTACCTAAATCAAAGTCAAACTGCGTCTCAAACAGATTGCGATTAGATAACCGACGATATTTTTTTTGTTACCTCCCATGCGGGGACACGGTATGGAATCCTCATGGATACCCTACAGCCGGCTGCAAGGTTCTGTCAGACTCTTACTGACAAAAAGCTTCATCTGAAGCGATCATCCCCTCAGAAGGGGATGATGTGGTATAACCTCCGATCTTTTCAAGTCTTTTACTTCTTCTTTTGTACAGGGAGTGTTTTCCACAACACGACACCAGTTGCCTTTTTTGCGTGAGAGGATGTCTTTGGTCATGCCATCTCATCCCCTAAAAAGCTCAGCAGTCTCTTGATGTCCCCGCAGACCTCGAGCAGCGTCTGCGGGCAGCACAGGTGTGTCTGGTCACGCTTCTGCACTGTAGCAGGACGTGGCAGGCTCTTCACAGAGGACTGTCCGAGACACGTATTTTAAAGATATGTTTATTAAAGTATCCATGTCCTGTGAGAATTCTCACAATTCGTTTCCAATCATGTGTTAGTAGCTTGCAAAACTTACTTACTAGTCGTGGTTCTACCTTAGGTATGGCCTCCCTGGCGTGCCTGCAGTCTGCAAGTCCAGCCCAGTATTCGTTATGTTGTCGCGGTATCATTCCCTAATCCAACCTCACAGCAGTCGGTATGGGATAGGTACGATTGGTTCTGGGCCAAATACCACAGTGTACCCGACCGTCTCCTGGCCAGACAATCTGCCGCATCATTGCCCCTTGACCCACTATGTGATTTTATCCATTGAAGTATGACTTCGTTTTCATTGCCTATCTCCATAACTTTTCAATTGCATTCGAAAACCAGGCCGGAGGACATTATGTTGTTGTCTAGCACCTGAAGTACCGAAGCACTGTCAGAGAGTATCCGGATGTTCTTACCCCTGATTGCACGGCATATGATGGCCTCCGCTGCTCTGACAATACCTATACACTCCGCCTGAAAGACCGTGTTGAAGATACCCAGGCTGTCTGATATATGTATGTTAATATACCCTTAACTCCTTGTGCAGTCCTCGATCTGGATTGTTTTCATATAGTTGTGTTCTATATTTTTTGTCAAATACATACTGTCTAGGGATCATGTCATTTTTCGCTATTAAGGAGGGGTATTTTCCTTAATACCTTTTAAAATACGAGTATGTGGCGTGTTGTAGTCTCTCCACAACCCCAGCATGTGGAGTCTACTAGACGTGCATGCTGCTTCTTGCTGTATGTAGAAATGTAATGATCTTACGTTAAAAATCATCTCTAGTGCAGCAGTTGGGGCGGTTTTTATGTAGCCCGTTATCGCCCGGCAGACACGCCCTTGGAAGCACTTAAGTTTGCCTATGGTTGTTACCTGCGTTGTCTTGGTCTACCATACAAGCGCTGCATAGCGTATGATGGGTCTTATTGTCGTCGTGTACAGCCCCACCTCCTGTCCAGCATCCTTAACATTGGTACAGAATGATGCAAGCTTTCTTAGAGGTTCTGTCAATATGTGTTCCCCAGTTGAGTTTGGCATCTAGGTTTATGCCTAAATACTTTGCCTCCTTGGAGAAACAGCGTTTTGCCAAATAATTCTGGCGTGCGGTAGCTTCTCAAGTTTCTTTTGCTGGTGAACAGAACTAGTTCAAGTTTCAACAGTATAGTTCTTATAGTTTCAGAAAAAAGTGGCTGTGACATGGACACGGGCAGACAGACAGACAGACATGACGAATTCATAAGGGTTCCGATTTTGCCATTTGTCTACGGAATCCTAAAAACGGGTTTTTGTGTATAAAACTAATTACTTACATTATTTTTATATAGCAGCATATATTTTTTTTAATTTTCATCGTTTGTTGTTCACCTCAACACAAGATGAAAATTTAAAAAATACTGAGATAATAAAAGGGAGTAAGTTTTAGGAATACAAATAGAGTGGTCAGAAAACTAACGTATTCATAAATGGGATTGATTAATAAGATAACTTCGGGAAAGGGAAAGGAAATAACTCATAAGTTAATCGCCGAAGGAACTCGGTGAGCGAGCTTTTCTGATTCCTACTCGGGAAGGAATGGGGAAACAGACAGTAGCGTGACGACCTACGTAAATAAACAATAATGTCATAAAGTTACTTATAATTTTTTTGTAAATATATGGACAATATTACATTTGTGTAATATTGTATACGAAATAATAAAGTCATATATAGAAGGAACACTGTAGTTTTATTTCTCTTTTACATGTATGTATGATATTTCGGTTTATAGGTAATATAAGGATTTTAATACATAAACAAAATAATATGTTGTGCGTATAAGTGGTCAAAAGTTGGAGACCAATTTTATTCGCTTGAATTTGCTTCGACACACTGCAGCGTGCCTAGAAATAGAAAAGAATATTTATCATTCCTATGAAATCTGTCAACATTTTATTTTGTTTCAGATTATGGTCATCAGGATGCAGGTCGAGATATCAAGGCTCAATAGGCCGCCTCAAGTTTTTGAGGCGGCCTTTTTGTATAATAGGTAAGTAACCAAACCATAATCTTTCAAAACCACACATTACCAATCCAATTTCTGCTATCATCATCAGCCTATTAATGTCCCCACTGCTGGGGCACAGGCCTTCCCTATGGATGAAATAGGGAGATTGGGCCATGACCCACCACGCGGGCCCAGTGCGGGTTGGTGGGTGCTAATGACTGCAGATGCAGCCGGGATCAACAGCTTAACGTGCCTTCCGAAGCACGGAGGAGCTCGAGATAGTAAATTTTTCGGTCACCCATCCAATGACCGACCACTGCGAAAGTTGCTTAAATTCAACGATCTCAGCGGAACGCGCTATAAACCACTTGCGCCATCGAGCTTCTCAATTTTTATTATGCTATGTTAATATTTATTTGTGAACACTTAATTTCTCATAACCGCCATTATTAACTACCATAGGAAAGGCTTGATGCACTTTACAATTTGTTTTAAGCCAAAATGTTGAGCAGCCGCTATATGCTATTGAAGTTAGGAAATTTTCATTGTATGAGTAATATAAACACGTTTGTGTTTTACCTACATTTTCGCATTCTACAAGAGCCGCGCCGGGTGCGAGTGAAAACCGCGCCGTGAGTTCTTAGCCTAAGGTGACACTCGTCAAAGTCATATTTGTCCTTGGAGCATATTTGTCTAGTGCTCGAGTACAGAATCGATGTTTGTCACCAAATTCATTCTATTGTACGAAAATCGGAGGATCGCCTGTCCCGTCCACCTGTCAGCTACATAAAAGACCACATGAATTGAGTTTCCCTGGGGAATTGTCTCAGTAGTGTTTTGCTTAACGGTTTGCGCAGTATGACAAACAGCTGACACGATCTAATGATTTTTTCCTTTTTTCTTTAAATCTTTGTTTTTTTCCAAATCTTGTCTAATAATTAATACATATGAATAAATAAGGTAACGTCTAGAAATTTATATTCTTACGTATTAACTTTGTAGATTTAAATATATGTTATATATATTTTCTATACTTATACTGTATATAAATTTGTTAGAATAGAACAGAGAATAAAGTAACAAATATATATTCCATGGGTCCGTATACAAGACTGCCTAGTTTCATCCTCAACATTTCCAAGTAAAAGTCACGTTTCGCCTATAAACCGTGACGAAGTGACCCTATTTGCAGGTGCGACCAATCTGCTGCGACCTTCACATTTTCCTTCCCCTGACTCTAGTTTCGTGCGACCGCCATTCCAATCTCTGGGGAGCCAGCTCGCCCGAGACCGTACTAACCGCCAAACATAGCCTCACGATATTCCTACTGGGGACAATAAAATGAGCCTACCCAAATTATTCAACCGGCCTTCCATTATTAATGTTTCACTTTGAACTTTTTTGCGGCGTCGTCGCTCGCTGTGATGTGACCTGTGACCGCGTTACAATCAGCCAAACAATTAGCTTAACCACAAATAATTTCGTGGATTCCATAAACCTGCGCTATACATGTATATGGTACATAAGGAATGAAAGGAAGTATTCTTGCAAATTCAATATAATGCTAATTTGTAAGATATGGGTCAGAAACGAGAGTTTTCGAGAATAATGCATTTGCATGCCTTTGTACCTACTATTGTATTCAATAGAAGCACCAAACTTCGACTGTAGCGTTCCTTTCAATGAGGTGAATTTACTATGAATAATGAAAAATACTAGGATTCTTCAGCTACTACGAGCGAATAAAACATGAGTACTATACTTGTGTGAGTTAAATATTTTACTTAAATCCAGATATGTGTGATGTTTATTTAACTTTATACGTTTTACGTTAAAATTGTTTAAATAAATAAAAGATTCAATAAATTTTTATATTTATTTTTGGCGTATATTGTATAACATCTAGGCATAAAAGTAATTAGTTATATGTAAATGTGGTAAGCAAAATATTTTAGAATTATGCTTGATAGTGGTTAATAAAAAAACCCTGGATTGCAGTGTACCAAATGCCAACTGTGGATTCAAGCAGCTTTTGCAGGCCTAGATGAGGAACAATTGTCTGCTTTAAATGAAAACGAATCCATGGAATGGAAATGTGATAACTGCATCAATAAAAACCGACCCAAGAGGAAGTCTATTATCATAGGTGACCCAGAGGATACGGACAATTCGGAAACTAAGCTTGAAAACGCCTCGACTTACGGTAAAAAGACCTTGAAGGGGGTTCTGGTGCAGAAACGAAAGGAGGTAAATACCATTATAAGAGAAGAATTATAAAATACTTTGTCCGACTACTCAGATCTGATCGACGAATTCATTGAGAAGCTAACTACATTGCAAGGTAAAGTCAAGTATTTAAAAAATACGAACCGTAACCTAACCATCCGCAATAAGGCGTTAGAACAAAATCAGCTTCGAAACGAACTAGAAATATGTGTTTTTTTTTTCATAATATCCACTATGAAAGAATTTAAGAAAAAATTAAATAAGACGCCAACGACACTTGATGAAATCGCGCCTTAAACTCATGTGGTAATAATAATAATCTTTATTTGTTCTTCCACAATTTTATTAATTTTGAGTGCAACAAATTATAGCAGTAAGGGCCGAGAAAATAAAAGAAACGGTGTGCAAAAGTAGTTCTGCACCGAGGCGTGGCAGCTACAAGATTATTATGCAGAGCAGAGTGCAGGGAGGGATCCACCGCGCTGTGTTGTTTGAGAACAGTATAAGTATAAATAACTGTCGGACGTTTAAAACTTGGCATTTTTGATATAGTTCTGTAGTTGGGAATAAAATAGATTTCTTAATACATATTTTAAGTACGGCTCTTTGCGCACGTTCAAGCTTTATGAAGGTCGATTTAGAGGTACCTCCCCACGAGATGATGCAGTATGTTAAGATGGATTCGAAAAGAGCTTAATACACCGATAGAACCAGACTCAAGTCAGCTACATGACGAAGATTTTTAAAGACGTACGTTAGTTTGCGTAGTCTACCTGCAATAAGTTCTACATGTGCAAGGAACGTTAGCTTGGAATCCACAGCGACACCCAAATATTTAACAGTCCCACATGCCTCCAACGGAGGACAGGCACATGCATTTATTGAAGAGTTAGGATGGCAATAGGCTATTAAGGATCTACCTTAATCAGTTTTGGTGGAATATTTTTAATTGGCATTATTATATGTTGGGTCTTCAGGATATTCAAAGTCAGAAGGTTATTTCGAAGCCAGCAGGATACCTGATCGAGACCATACTGGGTGTGACGGAAGGTCTCCTTCCATTTGCCAGATGAGAAAATCAGTACGGTATCATCAGCATAAGAGATGATCTTGCAGTTGAGAATTTGTAGAGAAGACAGATCATCATCAATACTTCTCTGCGGTACTCCGTATTCTATGTGACAGTCAGAGCTCTTGATAACATTAACAGTAACACACTGATAACGATCAGTGAGATAGCTGCTGAATAGCGATAGCTGTCTGCCTCTAACTCTCAGATTTTCTCCCAGAGAAACCGCGTCGAATGCTTTAGCAAAGTCTAAGAACACGGAGACAGTTTTTCTGTTTCCATCAAGGTTCCTTGCTATATGATCCGTGAGTTCGTGAACTTAAATTTTCCCGGAGTAAAGCCGTATTGCCCAGGAGCCAATGCGGATGTGCTCTTTAGAAAGTCCATTAATCGGTTATTGATTAGGCGTTCCAATATTTTAGATAGTGCTGGTCATATAGAAATGGGACGATATAATTTCGGGCAGTCTTTTTTCCCTGGCTTATAAATCGGATGGACAAGAGCCTTTTTGAAAGCGGAAGGAAAACAGCCAATATCAAATGCTAGATTACAAATAGAAACAATAAGAGGTATGAGTGTATTTTTATAACGTCTAATGATATTGGTGGAAATATCATCCCATCCAACAGCACAGTCCACCCTTAAAGACATTATGGTACTATCAACCTCGTCCACCGTTGTACTTAGTAGCACAAAGTAATTTGCAGGAGACGATGAAAATGTTGGTGATGAAGATGTCAATGTCAATGTATTGAATGTGAAGAAGATATAGATCCAAAATAGATTGTTGAAACTGTCTACAGCAAAATCAAACAATCCACCGAGGACAGTCAGAAAACAAAAAGTTCGAAAATTCAAAAATAGCGAAATAAAAAACTTGCATCTTCTCTATTACACTGCAGGATGAACGCCGAGATGCTTGGATATGAGCAGCAAAGAAAATTAAATTGAAAGCTAAAGATTGCGGATTTACCTAAGAAAATCCTAATTTCACCCGGGAGGTCCTTACGTCTACAACAGCTCAGCTGCTGTGGAAGGCTAACAACAGATTTCAAGAAAACAGGTCTTTATAAGTTCGTCTGGTGTACGCAAGGGAGGATCCTCCTTAGAAAAGATGATAAAGAAAGTACTAAAATCCATGCCGTGAAATCGCTAAAGGACATAGATAGTCTCGCTAAAGGACATAGATAGTCCCGCTAAAGATTCGCAAGATAAGAATAAATAATAATAATATTATGTTTCTTTGTTTATTATAACACTTTTTAATGTACATGTGCTCAACATTTGTCAATCTTTTTGTATCTAAAAATGGCTAATTCTAAGGAAATTCATTGTTTAACAGAACATAAATATGATACCTATCAAGAATTCATAATTAACTGCGATAAACAGAATATTAATGCACTTATTTTTTTGTCACATCAATATCAGATCAATCTGTAAAAATTTTGCATACATCGAACGCATGATAAATAGTACTAAACAAACTATTCATGTTTTAGCTCTAACAAAAGTAAATATCAAACATGGTTGTCATTCAATATTTGACTTGGATTTATATTATATGATTGATTTACTAAGAAAACACAGAACTGGGGGAGGATATTGTTATAAGGTAAGTGCGCCTAAATAGGGCCGGTTCCAAATAAGGTCCATCTTTTCAAACTTCCCGCACTTAATATTTAAACCAAAACTGATTTTGCGTAGCGCCTCCCCAGTAACCAATCATAAAAGCGCACCGACGTTC